TTGGGAACAATTAAATCTCTCCCTTAGATTTTACTCAGGGTTGAAGAACAGAGAGATGGTATGTGGAGAGTAATGATGGCTGACACAGAGTTGCACCACTGGTGACTGAGTACATTTGTGTATGCATATGTACTGTATGTGTAGATGTTAGTAGTGTCTGTTAGGGATACTCCAGTCGTGTATTCACTATTTAGTATCCACACATTTTCAAATCACATTCCTAACTGACAAGCTCCTTCAGTCTCATCTGGTGAAGCAGCAAATGCGATGTGTTTGCTTCTACGCTGTATCTTGCATTACTTTTTCTACAAGAAAGAATGTCCAAGTCCCTTATTTTGTAGGATTTAAACTAAATAGAAACTAAATTCAAGGCAAGTGATAAGTGATATTTCTATTTGTACACTTGCCCTGGTCTTAAATGCACAAGTCTTAATAGAAACAATTCTTAAAGAATGTAAAAATAGGTAACAGCCAAGTAGCACCCTGATTTTCTTAATTTAAAAAAAGGCTCAGAGACAGCAAAGTGACACATTTACAGTTAGAACATCTCTATTTTGTGTGTTTCACATGTTTTCAGAATTTTCATCATACTGAGAGACAGCCATGGTTAGGACAGCACTGTCAGGAGCTTTCATGCTACGGTATCACTTCAGCCTCCTCTTAAACTGCCCCTCCTCTCACATCAGCACAACTGAAGAGCACTGCTTTGAACTCCTTTATATATCGTGTACAGACACACACATACATGCACTCACACAGACACACTAAACCTCCACATGATTGCACTTATCAGTACACACAGAATACACACATACATTAAACTAAACAAAAGGATTGCAGAAAATCAATTAATATGTTCACGTTTTTGGAGAGGATGGTGACTGTAAAAAGAGTATGTAGTGTAGAAAAAAAAAAGTACTATTGCCATAGTAGACAGCTGGTAGACATGCGCAGAAATGCCTCTGTTCTCATAAGTCCACCTAGAAATAAACAGTATTCCCTTTCAGGCCTTGTTTTGAGAGAGCGTGGCCAAACATCACATTGCATGCTAGAATGGTAGACCCTATAGATAATCTATGGCTAGACATTCTCCTTGCCTCCCCTCTCTCATTTCCTGCTGTATTCCCACCCTGCCTGCCGTTGTGTTCTCCATGCCTATCTCAGTCTTTCATTTCTCTTTTTTTCGTAGCCTAGTTTTTACTTTTGTTTTACAAATGTGCATGCATAAGCATCACTAAATTGTTGATGTTTTTAAAAGAATATTTTGTTGCTGAGGCCATGCAAAGTGTTTTGAATATTGCCCTTATATGTGGAAAATGTCTTCTGAATGCTTTACATAATTTCTGCTGTAAAATGAAATCAGAATAAAAAGAAAATTTGCACTTTAAGTTATTTCTTGTCTGATATTTATTTCTTTCGTGACCTGCAGACTCTACAGGCTGCAAGGGGTAAATTACTGCACTTTTATGTATGTACTAAAAACACAACAATTCCATGAAAATCACTTTTTAAAAGGATCTTTTTTGTGTGTTGTCCACACAGATTTGCACTTTTTCTAACATGTTAGACATATTAAGTGAATTAACCTTACAAAATAACCAGTTTTGTTATTTTGTTTTAAATTAAAATCAAACTTTTGAAAAAGGAAAGTAGAATTGTGTGGTTAATGTGCTCATTTTCCATTTTACTTTTTCTGTCTTCGTGTGAAAACCATCAAAACGGACGTTTAAGCGTGGCTTGGAATTTTCACAGTAAAAGCTCTGTTGTGTTTGCTGAGCAATTCAACAATTTCCACTGACTGCAAGAGCTAAGGCACGATGGGAGACACCTGATCTGAGAGCTGATTGGTTTAGATGCTGAATCAACAACATGTTTTATACAGATGTCATTTCTTGTATGACTGCAGCAGTTGGGATTTCATTTGTTGCTATTTGCACTTTGACGGTTTATTCTTTTAACAGAATAAATATCAATGATGTTGGCTTTTATCAGTGAGAGAAGCTGAATACAGTCAGCTTACAGTACACTGTATATAGGCCTAGTTCTCATATACTGCAGACAGTCTGTGATTGTTCTGCTGTGAATATTATTGAATGAGTTCCTGAAGCCTTTGGCAAGTGGGTTGTGAATATTCTCAAAATGACATCGAGGTGAAGCAGCAGCAGGCTGTATATCTAAAAGATCAATAATGGCTGTGAATTTATTAATGCAAGCAGTTTTATATCAAGCCTGGTCAGCTCAAATACAGCAGCAAACTGATATGATGACCACTTTATATGAGAAATGTAGCCCATATACATTTTCACACACATATTTCAGTAATAACCTTTATAACGGCATTTATCAAGATACAACGTGCAGCTTATGTGTGAAGAATACTGAGTTTATCTAATCTAGCCATTTAACATAACAAAATGATCACACATTTGCCTCAGATGCCAAAACAGAATTTAAATGTAATCTAACAGATTATCTATGGGCTGAATGAGCACCTGAGAAAGCCAGTATCCCAAATAGTGGTACAGCCAATTAATCTAATGTGTCAGAGTATAAAGTGAGCACAGAGTAACAGGCAGCCTCAGACCAATCTCAGGCAGAATTTATCCCAATAACCAAAGTAGTAAAATGCCTGACTTATACATTGACTACATGTGACCCTGGTAAATGGGCAAGGGGCATGAAGAAAGATGGTTAACAACTAAACTCCTCCTAGGACATGAGACAAACTAACACAGCCGTGGTGGACATGATGGACAGACAGAGAGAGAGAAAAAGTCAAGTCCCTTCGATACTTCCTTTAGGAGTGTATCTGGAGATCTTACAATAGTAAACTGGTCCCACATCATCGAGGTAGTCAGATGGTTAGCAGCCGAAACCCCTCCACCTGTATGACAGAAGCAAAAACAAAAGACATATACTGTAGGTTGCCATGTTGTAAAAGAGAGTAAAAAGCCACCTCCTTTCAGTCCGCATCTTATAAGTATCCTGTCCTCATCTTACGAGTGTCCTACCATGCAGCCATGCCACAACCAAAACTACTTGTTGTGGTGTCTCATGTCACACACCTGTAGTAGGCAGAGGCACGTTATGGTGTGTTGAAGGACGAGATTGTCTGAACAAAATTTACTTTCACAAATGTTTAGTGCCTTACCATTTTTTTAGACACTCATGGCTCCATCTACCCATAGGAACAGATAGGCAGACATCCAGACAGACTGACACAGACAGAAAAGAACATGCAAACAAAAGATGAAGGGACAAACGGAGAGAAATAAATACAAGTGTGCATAAACAGAGACTGAGACAGAAATATAAGAAGAGAAAGACATATGTAAATGTGCAGACACAGAGAAAAAAAGTTTGCTAGACAAATACACAGATGAGGTGGGGCCCCCTCACTAGCTAGGTTCTTCAGAGGATCCCAGAGGAGGTTTCAGTCCAGATTTGCCAATTCACTGGTGGAGAAGGTGCTGTATGAGCTTAAGGCAAAAAGGAGTTCTTGCCTTGCACAGGTTTAAAAGAATCCCCAAAACAAACACGAAAAAAGGATGGCAGGTCTAGTCCTTCAGTGAAATAATCCCCTGAAAATGTTCCATCTCTTCAGTCAGAAAATGGTAAGACAGTGCCACAACACTAGGGTAGTCAGATGGTTAGAGACTAACTGGGGCTGGATCCAAGGCTTGTTGCATACAAACCATGTTTGTATAATGAAAGCTTCTATTCAAGAATTTGAATCTTTTTTAAGTTTGGGGAGGGCAACACAGTACATAGTCAACTACTGGGAGGGTGTGGTGCCCACATTTTCTGAAAACAAACAGGCTGCTGTTCACCCTTCTATTGGACTCCTCGTGTTGTTTTGTTAATGTGCCACAATTAACTGTGTTTTCAGGTCGCCAGAAGCGTTTCATGTACCGGATTTAAATGTAACGGAAACCACGCCCATTTGGCACAAACCGCACCGTGCCGGTGAGGTTTAGGAACGCACCATTTGGTATATTCTACTTACGTCACGTCCATTTCTTTTTTACCGTAAAAATGTTGTTTACCTTTTCCCATGATGTCAAAAACATCCCCAGATGTGAGTCGACTAAATATTCTGACCACGAAGTCATCTTAAACTGCATTTAAACAATTACATTTTATTTCAACATCATAATTACTTTTTTCATCTTAATATTAAATGGCGCTCCTCTCTGTGTGCATTACCTGATAAATCAATCCTTATTACGGTAGTAACCGGAAATTACGTAGGATTTGCAGCTGATACAAGGACGTGGTTTTTTCCGGTAAAAAGTGGATTTTACAGCTTCAGGACCGACGGTTTTACAGTAGAGTTAGTTACGTTTTAATCAACAAATGTACATATTTTTAGTACCAGATGTTTTAATTTAGTAGTACAATGAGGCCTTTCAGTTTTTCTTCTGGAAACTCGGCGCTGTAATGTCTTCTGATGCTGCCTAGCTGTCGCTCGACTTAAGAAACAATGCAGGCCTAGCTAACAGCCATCGTAAGCTAATCGGATAACGCTGTTCCAGCAGACTGCGGAGGGCTTTAAACCTTGGGCGAAGCCTTTTTCCACGCTGTTATAACGTTAATCCCGGTATGTAACAACAGTTTTGTATTTTGTGTTGCGTTTCATGCAGTCGGTGTATTCTAAAGTAACTTTATTTTTGTGACATTAGCAACTGATCGTTTAACGCCATTATTCCAGAAAGTTCAAGCTCATTGGCTTGTTAGCATTGGCGTGAATATTAATATTAACAGTTGCCTAGTTGGTTTGAGCTTTAAACTCTGTCAGTGGGGTTTAATGTTACAGATGGCGATGCTGCACAATGACAGCTAAGAGTATAATCAGTTTACTGATCTGTTAGGTTTAATGATCATACTTGATAGCAGTGGCGATCACAGCCTTTTCAGTACGGTCTGTCTCAGCGGCCCAACGTCGCTCTTGTCTGGATCACACACCACACAGTTATTTTCACACACACGGTCAATAAACGCGTATCGACTTTGGTTTCCCGTTCCGTTGGAATGAGACTTGTCGGAAAACGACAGGGGTTAGTGGTTTAATTTATATGGTTGCGTTACAGCAGAAGTCATTTTTATGGCTTGCATTATGTAACAATGAAATATCATATCCTTCCTATAGAACAGAAACGCATACATCCCATTTCCAAAGACAGAACTTCCCTATATCCCCGTTTCCACCCCACCCAAACTAAAGAAAGAAAAAGGAAGAAAAAACGAGACACTGTACAAAGACACCCATCAGTGTGCCTCCAGCTCATGTGTCTGCTGAAACATTTATGATAGTAATATACCTTCTTACTTACTGTCTGCATCAGAGCTGAAACAATCGATCATGTGGTTGATCAACAGAAAATTGGCCAAAGTTATCATCTACCCTTGTGAGCTCTTTTTGACATGTAATCAGCAAACTGAGCAATTAAAATAATTTGTGGACCTGCACCACCCTCGTCCATCCTTTGAACACTTTTACAGCATTTACCGGTTAATTTTCAGTTGATCAACTAGTTGATTATTTAACTGATTGTTCAGCACTTGTTTTGGATTAGACTGATTTATGGCGGTGTTCGACTTTATGGTGATTTGGGAGTCTTCAGCTTATGATCCAATTGAAGTGTTTTGCACCAACTGCAACTTCTTTGGTCAATTCTGATTGCAGATTCAGATTTTTTTCTAACAATTGTAATTGGCAACATACATAGACATTTTTTGTAGCTTTTCTTTAATGAAAAATTGAGTTGTAATTAAAAAATAAAACGTATTCTTTCACTCCACCTCCAATTAGAAAAGAAGTGCAATATATATACTTCTCCAAATAAAAACAAGTGCAACAGTTAATGGAACACTGTTCTTTTTTTAAGTGTGTGTAGTTTGTATTAGCCACTTTACCACAGGTTTGATATACTGTACATATACATGCATTTCATGCGTAGCCAGTAACTCCCTCACCTTGTACTATTTGTCAGATATTTGGATGTAGTTTCCCCTTCTCCAAGGCGTTTCTGTAGCTCCTCTGTGCACTTTTTGAAACAGTGCACCAATGAACACACACACACACACACGAGCACTTTTTGAAACAGTGTACCAATGAACACAGACAAGAGCGTGAACCTCCCTCAAGGTGCACACGAGATGCTACACCTTTGGTCTGTGCCACTGTGTGTGTGCGACGTGAACTGTCAAGCCTAATTTGATTGACACAGAATTGGAAATGGAGTGATCAGCCTTGACAGGTGACTGGCCATTTCCGATCTCCGTCAATCGATCAGTGCATCTCTAGTTGGCGTTCTAATATTTAGTCTACACTCACTGATCTAAATAGTCTGAACTGTCATATTAGACAATAAACTGTGTAGCCTATATATAGCAGTGCATCAACACTGATCACAAGGATTAGTTGAGTGTGATATCATTTATAATTTTAGGCATTAAATTATTCTTTTAGGTAGTTCAGGGTCTTTTTGGTACATTTGTCTAATTCTTATCAATCTCTTTTCAGCTATGAGTTCTCAGCTGCAGGTTTTCTCTCCCCCCTCGGTGTCCTCCAGTGCCTTTTGCCGTGTTAAGAAGCTGAAGGTGGAGAGCAACGTTTGGGATGTTTCCACCACTGAAGCTTATAGCTCCATAGCAGGCCAGTCAGCCTACACCTTTACCCCTGTCATGGCTGCGCCTCCCTTCGCACCATCCCTGGTCTTCCCTCCTGCAGCTCCTGGCTCCAGGGGTCAAGTGGTGGTGCGAGCAGCTGATAGCACTGGCAGTCTACCCCGTGGTTCCAGCCGGCGTGTCACTGAGCAGGCAACATCCACCTCCTATGCACATGCTGAGGCATCTTCTGAAGCAAGGGGCCACAGGCATGGACAGAAGAGAAAGATTGAGGAGGTCCCTGAAGGGAGTGGATGTGGCAGTGTCCAGATATTAGAGGAGCTCTCAGCACCTGCAGCAGCTTACTCCACTCGTACAGGTGGCGGTGGAGGAGGGGGCACAGGCCAGTCTATACCTCACTCAGCTCCAACCACCAAGAGCAGCAGCTCCAATGGTGAAGGAGATTATCAGCTAGTGCAACATGAGATCCTATGCTCCGTGTCCTGCAGCTATGAAGTGCTGGAGTTCCTAGGACGAGGCACATTTGGACAAGTGGCCAAGTGCTGGAAAAGGGGCACCAATGAGATTGTTGCTATTAAGATCTTGAAAAACCATCCATCATATGCTCGTCAGGGCCAAATTGAGGTAACTGTACATCATTTGGTTGATCATTTACTTTGATGCCTGTGTGGGTTCTCTGGCTTCCTCCCACAGTAAAAAGACATGCAGCTTAGGTTGATTGGTGACTCTAAATTGGCTGTAGGATTGAGTGTGGCTGTGTTTAGTTGTCTAAGTGTCTGGTGACCTGTCCAGGGTATACCCACCTCTCACCCAATGTCAGGTGGGTTTAGCTCCAGCCCCACCGAGACCCTTGTTAGGATAAGCGGTATAAATAATGGATGGATGGATTTTCCTGTTATGTAACATGGCAGCATTTATTGGAATCAAATGGAGCTGTTTCTCTTCAATAGGTGGGCATTCTGAACCGGCTGAGCGCAGAGAACGCAGATGAGTACAACTTTGTGCGTTCATATGAATGTTTCCAACACAAGGGTCACACCTGCCTGGTATTTGAAATGCTGGAGCAGAACCTGTATGACTTTCTCAAGCACAGCAAGTTCAGCCCACTCCCTCTACGGCACATCCGACCTATCCTGCAGCAGGTTGGCGAATGCTTTTACAAATATTTATATTTTTCTAACATTAAACTTGACATCGATTAATAGGTAATTAACAGTTAGTTACAGTGTTCTTTAGAGCTCTGATGTTAATACAAATTTAACATCTGAAAACCTCTGTTTTCATTCTTAGTGTTAGGTTTAGATTAATATTTCTGTCTTTGTATCTTTAGGTGGCTACGGCACTGATGAAGTTGAAGAGCCTGGGGCTGATTCATGCAGACCTGAAGCCTGAGAACATCATGCTGGTTGACCCCCTCAGACAGCCATATAAGGTGAAGGTCATCGACTTTGGCTCAGCAAGTCACGTGTCCAAGGCTGTCTGCTCAACCTACTTACAGTCTCGCTACTACAGGTTGGTGGCAAGAAATCCGGTTACTTTTTGAGAACGTAAAAACACCTTCCCTTGTAATCCTAGGAGCAGGAGTGGTGGCAGTTGAGCCATGTGATGACACACCTTTGTAGGTCAGGTGTATTTCTTTGGTACTAGGCTTTCAATTTTCTGTTTGCTGTCTAGGGCTCCAGAGATCATTTTGGGTCTGCCATTCTGTGAGGCCATTGACATGTGGTCTTTAGGCTGTGTGATAGCTGAGCTGTTTCTGGGCTGGCCTCTCTACCCTGGAGCGTCTGAGTATGACCAGGTCAGTACTAACATTAGTGTTGCCCATATCTTAACTAAGGAGGAAGGCTAAGATATGAGATAGAATAGGTGCTATTAATTGGTGGCAGGTCATGGAAAGAGGTGCTCTGTAGAAATTCAGATTCAATACTAGTTTGGCTTTAAGCAAAAAGATGCCAAAGTGCTGCTGAAGGAACAGGCTTGACTACAGCATGTGAGGGTACAGCAGTTAATGACTTCATTTTTATCATATCTATGGCACTTAATGTCTTGTCTCACTGTGATTCTTAAACTGGAATTCCCCCCCCCCTTGGTTCCAGATCCGATACATTTCTCAGACTCAAGGCTTACCAGCAGAGTACCTCCTGAGTGCTGGCACTAAGACCAGCCGCTTCTTCAATCGAGGTCCTGACTCTAGCTACCCACTGTGGAGGCTCAAGGTGAATAAAACTACATAAAATGCTGCTGAGCAGGCAGTAAAGAATTATCTCCAAAAAAAAACAGCTAATTAGACCTTGTGTTCTTTTTCCAGACCCCATCAGAGCATGAAATGGAGATGGGCATCAAGTCCAAGGAGGCCAGGAAGTACATCTTTAACTGTCTGGATGACATGATGCAGGTAGATGGCAAATTTTCAAATAACATTTAATACAGTGCAGTTTTTAACTCTGTAGACACACACAAACCTGGAAATCATAATAATTACACTCACCAGCCACTTTATTAGGTACACCTTTACAGGTTCACCTGAAGTCAATAAATAACATCTGAATAGGTCAAACAAATGTTCAGAGATATACGCTCACCGGCCACTTTATTAGGAACAATTATATGCACTTCAGTGCAACATTTCCACCTTAACATCTGTGTTTATGAAGCTCAAAATGTTTCAGTAAAAAATATAGAGACACCTCTGAATATAATGTAGTCCAGTCCACCTTTAACTATGACCTCAATAATAACCACATAATTTATACATGAATAAATACTCAAAACATTTTGAGCTTCATAAACACAGATGTTACGGTGGAAGTGTTGCATTGAAGTGCATATAATTGTACCTAATAAAGTGGCCGGTGAGCGTATATCTCTGAACATTTGTTTGACTTATTCAGATGTTATTTTGTGACTTCAGGTGAACCTGTCCTCTCATCTGGAGGGGACGGACATGTTAGCTGAGAAAGCCGATAGACGAGAATTTATCGATCTATTGAAGCGCATGCTCCGACTGGATGCCGACAAAAGGATCACGCCTACAAAAACTTTGGGTCACCCGTTCGTCACAATGAGCCACCTCATGGATTATCCCCACAGCTCCCAGTAAGTCTGTGTAAAGCACATATGTGTCCCTTTGGGCAAGTGTTTATCAAAATGTAATTGCTGAAATGCTGTTACTCGATCCTCTCCAGTGTGAAGTCGTGCTTCCAGAACATGGAGATCTGCAAGCGCCGGAGCTCCTATGATAGCAGTAAATCCCTGTACTCCACCAATGCAGTCCCTAGCACTGCAGCGGGCAACCTCACTGTTACCTTCAGTAGCCAACTAAACCAGCATAACCAGGCATGACCAATATCTTTCCCATAAATTATTACATGTTTGGGGACCTGTAAGTAATTTAATGTGTCTCTTAATAGGTGCCTTCTGCGGGCGGAGCGGTGCCTTTGCTGAACTACCAGCCAGCTCTGTACCAGCAAGCGACCATCAACATTCCAGGGCTGGCTCAACAGAGTGTCCCAATACCAACGCGTCCTGCTGGGCTGTGTAGCCAGACAGAACCCTTCCAGCAGACGCTCATCGTCTGCCCGCCCTCCACTATTCAAGGTAAAGCATAGCTGCATTCAGACTGAAAATAGTCAAACCTCAGTGTAGTCATGTTTCAGAATCAGATTTATTGGCCAAATATGTTGAACACAACTAATTTAACTGTGCGTTTTGTAAGGCAACAAGAAGTATGTTTAAATTTAAAAAAAGACAAATGATGAATAATGTATACACATCATGGCAGAAGAAGAACTTTCAGATAACTATATACAGTGGTTTTATTTACTAATTGTTGCACTAGGGTGTCATTTTAACCAGAAACAGCGATGATCAGGAGAATCTGCTACATGAACAATTTACACACTGAGCTCTGCTGTCACTGGCACTGCTGTGCTGCAGGGGCGGGATTTAAATCACAATGGCGGCTCACCATCATGATCCCTGTCGGCCATCGGCGATGGATGATGGCATCGTTGCATTGTCCATCTCTACTGGGGTGTCTGATGTATTCTGTTGTACAGACAACATGGGTCAACTGTTTGAAGGTGTATCAGATGCCAAGAAACCTCACAGTGGTTTATTTGAATTAGATTTTCAGTAAGGCTGTCCTCAATGAATCCTCCATGTCAATGTTTGTCCAACATCTGGACCAGCACTGATAATTGGATGAGAACCTACTGTTAAATACTACACTACTTGAATCAAAGATGTAACTGAACAGACAAACCTGGATAAGTGTTTATATCACAGTAGTCCTTGTTTTAGTTCTTTAACCAGGGATACTTCAAAGCACCTGATCATTAAGGGAAACCTGTGTTGTGCATGTGAGGATACTGAAAATAAAGTAAATGAGATGCGTGTCATCAGGATTTTGGGATTCTTCACTGACATGATTTTGTGGGATATTTTCCCAGGGCTCCAGACATCCAGTAAGAGTTCCGGTTTCCCTGTGAGGATGGAGAACTCTGTACCTATAGTACCTCAGAATCAGTCTGCTCAGTCGTTGCAGATCCAGCCAAGTATGCTCACACAGGTAAGAGCATATTGGCCAGTTTTTGACATCTGTGATGGTCCGGTGCTTTCTAAATGGCTTTATATTAATTCATGATTTAATTTTTGTCATTAAAAAGAAACGGTGCTGTTTGTTTGTAAGCTTTTCTCCCATTTTCATTTTGGATTCTCTGTCTCTGGCGTTTCGGTGGAGATGTGGTCACCTTTGTGGCAAAACTGACTCGCATGCGAGACCGGTCTAAGTTTTTTTTTTTTTCAGGCCTTACCTGCTGCTTTTGTCTCTAGAAGAGCTGTGGCCTGAGGCTTACAGGAACTTTCCTCTCTTGTGAAGTTGATACAAGGAATTACAAGGACATTTATAACCTGTTCAGACTGAAACAGTGATGCGGGTCAGAGCAGCACTGGCAGTCAGTCAGTCTGAATGGGTCACTGCATGTCACCACGCCTTCCACTCAACCAGGGCTTGAACACTGTCTGGCTTCAGTGATCTGGCCTTTGTGTCAGAGATGGAAGTTCATTTAGCAATACTGATGTTTAAATGTCATGACAGACTCCCTAAAACGAGTAAGAGGGAGAGAATAAGAAAAGATGGACAAAGGAAGTGCAGATGTATGAGAAAAAGGTAGTGTGGATGAACATATAGAGAGAGAAGTGCAAGTGAAACCTGACTATTAGTGGGTAATTTGTCATTCCATGTAGCTGGTTCAATGTAGCGTATGGAACTAGATTTCAGACTGGAGCCTCTCCTAACAGTGACAACCAGAACAGCTATCTTATCTGAATGGGTCTAAGGCAGGATGAACACTGTGAGCAAACCTGTGTCCTGTAGGAAGATTAGAGGTTGCAAGCGATCAGCTACAGTAGGAGAAGTAGTAGTATTCACCTTCAGTGATTACTGATCTGACTTTAATTTCATTCACAGCGGTTCCATACAAATTTCTTTGACGCAGTGCACATGAGCATGTTTTTGTCATCCATCCATCAGTGACCACAACTCAAGGTTGCTGCAAAAAAAAAAAAAAATCTGGCAGCATGAGTAATAGCATGTGTTTAGCACCACGCTGACAGAAACGATGTTAGGATACTTAAATGCATTTAGGCTACTTTGTTTTAAAATTAAAGCATTGGCCTGAGCGACATAGTCTGTGCTTTATTTGCTGTTTGTGTTTCTGCTGGTGTGATTTGTGTTCATGCCTCAGATTTGCTTCTAAAACTGATTGGACTCCAAGCCAAGCCTGTCTTATTCCTAGTCTGCTATCTGGGATGGTGGCCAGATGTGGAGTGCTGAAGACTCATCTGGCCTAAAAAGATAGTTAATTGCTGTTTGCTAAAATTAGGAATAATTGGCACCCACTGCGGAGTTCAGGTGTCCACACGGCCAGTGGAACCAGCAGGTTTTATCCGCTGTGTCCCTTCATGTAAATCAGATACAACCTTCAAGGACATTACTTGTCATCCTGTCCTAACACTGCCCTCCCCTATCCTCCCTCCCTCCTCCAGGGTTCCTGCACACCCCTGATGGTGGCCACCCTACACCCATCCTCAGCAGGCATAGCCCCCCAGTATTCTCTCCCCCTCGGGCTGGGCACTGGGGTGGGCCGTCCCACCCTCCTGGAGCACACAGCCACAGTGCTGGTAAAACAATGATGACATCCCTGAAGAAAGACTTGCTCACTCCCTCTACCACTAACAATGCCATTTTTCTCCTGCCCCACTCTCCCTTTCCTTTTGTTTGCAATTTTTCCTCTCTCTCTGTTCCACACATTGTATGGGGCTAGTCTTTAATTATTCATATTTCTACATTCCCCCTCTTCTTGTGCAGATTGTATTGGTTGTCAAAATCTCTGTCGGTTGATGCTCATTAAATCAAACTGCTTTTTTCGGTCTGGCATCACTTATATCCTTCTTGGTATTCTTTTAATTTTTTTTTTTTTTTTTTATTCCTCCTTGTGACATTTGATCAGATTTGAACAAATTTCCCCTCCATAGGACACATCATTCCCTCCCCCACAGTTTTTCCCCAGGTGTGCTGAGGGCATGGAGCGCATGTGTTGCTGAGTTGGTCTGCGCTTTGCTTGCAGCTTCTCTTGTACTGTCCTTCCTTGGTTTCAGCAGAGGAGCTACAGCTATAAAGCTCACTACAGCCAATCGCCAGCAGCCTGACTGACACACACCTTTGGTTTCAGCCCCAGAACATGTGGCATGCCTTTTCCCAAGACAGCTTATCAGCAGACTGTTTGGCATCAGTGAACTCGACTAATCTCTTTCTTCAAGTGCTTCTTCTTTAACAGGCACCATGGTTCTGTGTATACTTAGCTTGATACCTGATCTGACTGTTTACAGTGCTTCATTGTCCGCACCTTGCATGATATCATCTTGTGGATTTGATGCAGGGCTACGCTATAATGAGGGAATGGCTTGGGAAAGGTTGCTCGCTTACCTAGCTTTGTGCTTTTGCCTGTAGAAGCGATTGGCCATTGATTTGCCTCTTCGTCTTCAGTTCTTGGGTTTATTTCTTAGCATGGCTCAGTTTGTGCAGCCCATTCCAGCAATCAAAGAATTTGTCGATTTGTATATAGCTCATCTGTGATAATACATGTACTGATGTGGGTGTCTGTTCCTCTCAGCAGGCCTGGCCCACTGGCACCCAACAGATTCTCATCCCATCTTCATGGCAGCAGGTCCCAGGCGTGGCCATCCACAGCTCCAGCCACCAGTCGAATGTCACAGAATCTCCACTGGAAACGCTTCACTCAGATGCTGCCACGCAGCAGGGACACAGCTGGAGGTGGGTCGGCCACTGTCTGACTCCACATTTACACAGACACAGTTTTGTCATTTTAGCGAGACTGTCTGCCATTGTTTTTAAAATGGCATATTTCACAGGTAGTTGCTATCAGAGAGAAGTAATATAAACGTTTTTGATGATTAACAGTATATCTAGCATGTCTTTGAGCAATATGGCCACTCACTGTCATGAGTCTCATCAGAATAGTAAGCTGTCCCTTGTCTTCAAGTTTTCATTTTGCCAGTGGTGTCCACTACTAATATGTGTGATCTTTGACCCTTCTAGGAGCACAACCCAAGCCAAAATTCAGC